GAGGGCGAAAAGGACATTCAAGAAGTGGAAGCAGGAAAAGGAGAAGAAGCGGGCCATGGAGCAGGAGGGAGAGGAAAAAGAGGCCGAGAACGATGGGTAGTGATGTGTGTCTTTTAGTGCTGCACAAAATTTTGCTTAACAGTTTGGCCGAGGTTTGTTGTGTTGTGTGCTTGGTGCGTGTTTCCCTTTCTTCGTGCCGATCTTGTATACGGAGTATTAGCAATATACAGCAGTAAACAATACTGCTTTATAAATATTTTCGTTTGTGTGTGCAGAGATTCGTCAAAGTTATATAGAAGTGATGGTATTTCTCCCTATGGGTGTCGTCGACCAACTTTTCTTCGTGCTATCTGTACAAATCCAATCATGTGGTGTCCGTAGTGTACAAAAGCAGGCACTGAGAAGGGTGGTGGGCGTCCCGGGGGGAAGGTTAGGGGGCTCCGTGGATGAATTTTGGGGAGGTATGTCGTGTTTAGGGGGCTCCGTGGATGATTTTCGCCAAAAATGTTGCATATCGCCGAAATTAAAAAAACTCTGCAGCTATCGACGTATCTCGACGAGGCGGTCACGACTATCGTTGTTTCACGTTCCCATTCTCGAAAAGACGTTATCGCACAAAACGTAATTGGACAAATTGTTGTGCACGGACCGTAGTTCGCCACAAGTGCTGCCTCGGCCGCCCTGCTCGATTCTACAGCAGTGCCCGGTCGCCGTTTCTCCTCCCCACCGCCGCTTCCCCGGCTCTCGTTCTCTTCGGTCCTGAGATGGCCGTACTCTCTGCTTCTGCTTCCCTCGCGCGCTGGCGCTTCGCGGACGCTTCCGCCTCCTGCCTGTGCCATTTCCTCATGAACCATGCCGCCCCGTCCTCGACCTTGTTGCACCACACCTCCGGGTCCTTGGCGCTCTCTTTCAACTTCCCCCCTTCCTTTTCGTCTCCCATGTTGAAGGCCACGAGGTCCTCTCCTAGACGAGACACCCAGTCGCTCTCCTGCCCGCCCCGGTATCCCACGCCCCCCGCCATCGCTCCTAACAGCATGCGCTTGGGGAGGCGGTTGTCCTCCATGCGCATAACAAAGCCCGCGAAACACAGTCTCCGTTTGCGCACGGTGGCCTCGATGGTTTCCTCGCAGCCTGCCTGGATGAGGGCCTGGGCATAGGACAGGGGGCGGTCTGAGCGTTTGCGCTTGTTCCAGCCGATGCACCGTGCAAGAAACTGGCGGTGGGTCCCATTGAGCTTCGTGTAGTGCTCCGCTGTTAGGCTCCACGAGGCGCACCCATATGTTCCGGCGGTAGCACTTCCACGCTCGGCAGCTGCGGCTCGTGATCTCCCGGTCGGCCTTCCCGTCCGCGGAGATGGTACGTCCGAGGTACACAAACCGATCTGTCTGCTTGTACGTCTGGCCGGCGGCGCTGACCGTGAACGGGCGTTCCTCGATCCCTTTTGGCAGTGTGTGAAGGCATGTACTACGTCACGACGGAGGAAGGTACTGGGTGTCGAGGAAATCCGTTACAACAACGTAGTCAGGGACAGCAGTTTACCATAGGTGCGACTGCGGCAACTAGCCTTCCGTAGACACTAGTCTATACAGAAAGAAGCGATGGTACTTGGCAGAGAACGAGCACAGAGTTGTAGCGGAGATAATTTGGCAGGCGAGACTGTAGTCGTTTTATTGTTCCGAACCCCGAAATCCCGGTACTCGGGCAATTACCCCGGAGACCCTCGGAACCTGCTGGTGTTGTTGTTGTTTCTCACATCAGCTCTATGTTGTTGTTGTTGTTGTCTTCACATTAGTCTAAACCGTATGTCAGTTGCTAAATGCCAAAATCTAGCAAAAGACTCTCAGCCCGTGGTCACGAAAGTGCTAGAGCCATCTGAGGATCTAAAGAACACGACGACATAAAAAAGCGAGGAAAAGGTATCCAAGAGCCCGAAGAGGTACACCTCAAAATCCCTGCAGCACCGTATGCGTGCCCAAAAACTGAACTGCACGTCCGTCCCACCGTTCGACTACAGTAGCATCACCCCCTCCCTGTCCCACTCTATACCAAAACGGAAGATTGCCGACTACAGCATAATGCTGTCTGAAGTGCTGTCTGTACAAAAACACCATGGTAGGCATGGAACAAGAAGCTGGCGGGGCACAAAGCTGCAGCTTCTGAAGTGCTTTCAGAATGGATGTGTCTGCGGCCGTACAGTGAAAAAGAACAACCAACCAAAGCCATCATAGCAGCAATTGACAATCACCCGAATCTCTCCCGATCGTCTGTGTAGGCACTGCAGTGAAAAATATCGACACTAGCTAAGAATCGTTCCACATTGAAGGGGTCTTCCACGATCAGGCACAAAACCAATGCACCCGGGTTAGCCACGCCATCTCTGACGGGTCTCTCTACAAAACCAGTGACGACGTCATCACATAGAACCAACACCGAAAATCAGGAAAAAAACGAGAAAAATTTATTTTTTTGACAACACAGAAATGTTTGTCCGTGCGCCACGGGTCGATGTCGCCCGCATGCTCCGGTGCCGCTGCTCCGTCCGGCGCCGCTGTAGTCAGCCCGAGCATAACGCCACTCGACCTGCTCCGTCCGTACACGCTCTCGTTGCTGTCCTTCCCAGTCCGTTCCTCGCTTTCTCCCTCATTGCACTCAAGGTTCTTGGTCTGAAAAAAATAAAAATTCTCGCGCCGAATGGTCAACCAGCCTAGTTCAGCTCGTCGCCACCTGCTCCCTCCTCCTTTGATGGCGAAGCCAGGTTACTGAGGCAATACAGCTCCCTCTAGCAAACCTTGGGCCGTGTAGTGCCCGTCCACCTTTCTGATGGTGTCTGCCTCCGCGCACAAAAATGAGATGGGCATCACTGCCAACGCCCGGCCAGAAAGGCCCGCGCATCTACATGTTCCCGCCTGACCCCATCAGTGCCGACCCAACTCCACCGCCACATGCACGCCTCGCGGCGGATGCGCAGCAGCAAGAAGGTTTCTTGAGGGTGAGTCTAGCCCTGCTCGCCAGAAAGACCCCCCCGCTTCGCTACAACCCATGTCTAAGCAAAAGCTTGTCGAGGAGCGAGGGGAAGAAGGCAGATCTATATAGTCAGTCCACAAAAATGCTCTAAAGTCCACGAAAAATGGGAAGCCCGTGGTCTCGAAACCCGGCACATTCGACGCCGCGGAGAAACAAAACAAAAGTAGGGTAAAACCACTCGGAAAAAGAAAACGAAATGATAGAAAGAAAAGAACAGGTATTGTACCGACCGTTCGAGAAAAGAGCCCTAAAAAAAAAAGACAAAAACAAGGAACAAAGCAGGACGCTTCCCACACCCGCCCAAAGAAAAAATTAAACGGTAACGTACCAGCACCAGGCACTGCGCACCAGGGCATGGGAGTAACATAGCAAACAGGACAATGGGGCGGCAGATGGGCAGACAGCCAGACGTACAAAAACAAAGGCAACAGCAA